GGCACTAATAAATAAATAAAATAATACATAATAAACTGAGATTTACAGTATTTTATTTAAATTTTAGTATTATATTTTGAGTAAGAACTACTAAACATAACTGATAACAAGAAGAAAGATTTTTTTATTAATACTGCAAAATATTTTTACTCTAAAGCAGAGATTGGAGTATTTTTTCGTTTGTAAAGGTTTGACACATCTGGTTTGCATTAGGATGACCAGTCAAGGATTTCTCGATGAAAGAGGTCCTATTTTATGAGTTTTTCGTTACCTGTTTTCTTCTTATAGATTTATTTAGATAGAAAATGTGTGAATTTTGAAGATGCAAAGAGACGAAGAAAATGTTTTTAAATGTTTAGTATTTTATCAAAAATTTTCCTAAGGCAGATCTTCAAGCTTTCAGTTGCTTTCTAGCATTTGTCGGGAACGAAGGGCAACCTACAGTCTGTAGTTAGTGAGTTAAAGTGAAGAATTTATTGAGAATTTATTTATTAATTATTATTTTAATGTAATATTTAAAGTTTTTTATTAAACGAAATAATTTGAAGTGTAAGATAATTCTTTAACTAAAAAAATCCTGCACTAAGTGACACAATTTATTAATAACAAATTACCCATCGGATGGTACGAAATCATATGCTGTAAAAATTATAAGCAAATCAAGTATGTTTTTCATATGTTTTTTATTTACTAAACCAGAAATTTATATTTTATTAAATATTATAATATAATATTAATATTATAAATGTTAACCTTGTATTCACTGCCAATTGTAATAGTTTATTTAATAAATTATTGTATAAAATATTATAACGAAAAAATTTTTCTAAAAAATAATTTAATAACATTAAAATATTTAAATATATCATTGATTAGAATGCAACTTAATGTTGACATTTTTTTCAGGTACGGAATTATGAGTTTTATAAAGGATATACCATATTACTTATCGCTTCAAATATTTAATTCAGATAGTTATTTTTCTTTATGTTTATCTATTTACTTATTTAACTTGTATATTAATTAATTAACTATTACATATTATGTATATAATTATGTTATTTAAGAAAAAATTTTTGTATATATTTGGTGTTTATTTGTATCAAAAAATATTCAATGAATAAATTAATTATCATTTAATATTATTTATTTTTATTCACATTTGTTATTAAGAAGAATTTTTGTCTTTATGACAATGCGACATCTATTAGACACCATTAGAACTCTATAGTTGGAGTTCATTACAAGATAATTTGGAAAAATTCATATAATATCCCAATGTATACGAACGGTATACTCTCCTCTCTATGTGGTAGATCTTTGTATACCATCAGTTTACTTTAGTAACTTTTCTCAAAGTATTCCACAGTCTACATGTTGGCACGGAGGAATACTTATTCGAATACTATGTGACTCAATTTTACTTTTGGAATACCTACATGTTTCATCCCGGGAAGACTTGGACCAGCAAGTCACCAATCTTGGGGCATTCCTCAACCAATCGATTTTAAATGGAACGAAAATTACATTTATTTTAATGTAAGTCATTTTTATCCATATATTACTCTATAAATTTTAATGTGAGTTCTAAGTGTTTAATTCTGCTTTCAGTGGGATCAGATATTTTAACGAAAAATCAAGTTTCTACGAGAGATATTTGTAAAAGTGTGAATAATAAACAAACCTTTGGTTCGTCTACAAAAAGAATTTTCTTTCCTACCTGTTCTCTTAGTTCGAAGCCTTTTGCTTCGTAAATAAAACAAGATTTAAGGGCATGTGGAATAAGCCAACTTCAGTTTATACATGTTTTAAATTCCACCGATTTTCATGAAAAAATAATTACATTTAGAAATAAAATTTTATTTCAAACAAAACAGACACCAATGCGTCTATGTTCCAAATAAAATTTCCTTCAACACAGAAAATTAAAAGGTATTAAAATAAGCTGCAACGCTTATTATTTTAATCCAATTTTGCTTATTTTAATACCAAAATGGATTAAAATAAGCAAAATTGGATTAAAATAATAAGCGTTGCAGCTTATTTTAATGCCTTTTGATTTTCTGTGAATTTTATTAAAATTTATTTCGTATTTTTCATGAAAATCGGTGGGATTTAAAACATGTATAAACTGAAGTTGGCTTATTCCACATGCCCTTAAAAGAAAATAATAATATAATAGGTTTTGTCCATCTCCTTCTGAGACGTAACACTAGTGTCATTGTTAATAAATCCATTTATATTCTTCTTAACAGTTGTTGCTAAATTACCAATAATTGTTAAAAGATTCCATAATCATATTAAATTTAAATTCAAAATTGCTGATCCGAATTGAGAATTAAAAAAATAGTTTCGGAATTGCTAAATACGAAGAAAAAAAATTTTTTCCAAATAAATAATAAAAAAATAATTATTTTCCTTTTTAAATTCTTTTCATGTTTTAATTTTCTGTAAATGAATTTTATTATATCGCGCTGCTGTTCATCAATTTATGGGAGAGGGTTTATATTCCCAAGCTGTTATTTTTAAATGTCAATAAAGCATTTATCAATGAACTTGATATCATTGTCAGTGTGCGCAAGTTATTGGTGTGCAGAGGTAAAGAGAAAAATTTTTGATTAAGCTGAGCTCTCGTTATATCGCGCAATCACCCGCGATCATGATAATATACTGCACTACAGTAGATATTTTTTCCCACTTTTTTCTGTAATAAAGTATAAAAAAAATATTTTTCTAACGAATTTAATAAACAAAAAAAAAAAAACAATTGCAGTGGAAAATATAATTATTTACTGACCGAGGAATTCAAATTCATTTAATAATTTTCAATTTTAACTAAAATCATTTCGAATCTTAAAAACTTTTTTTTTTAAATTAATTTAATCGTTGATTATTTATTTAAAAATGTTTTTCATTTGTCTCACTATTATAATATAGTGTGACATGTAACTATTACCAGTTCTAACAAGATTTTCTAAAGACTGAGTGTTCCAACTAAAAAAGAAGTAGAAAGTGAACAAGATTGCTTTTTCGTCGGGACAATAGCATCAAAGGACTTCAGTGACACCAGCCTTTGTCAGGCTTTTTTTTTATTCTCGCTTAACGAGTTTGTTTCACGAATATACTAGTTAGCCATTCCATTTATAATTCGTTTGGATTTTTACCTGAATTTTGTCGAAAAAAAACAAGCTCTTTAATTGATTCCTTTGTTGGATGATTGTTCAATGTTTTTTATGTTGTACAATTTGTAAATTTAAAGCATTTTATTAAAAAAAAATGACTTTATTAATTTTTTGCTAAACTAATTTTAAATTCGTAATCAGAAATCCTAAAAACCCTCAAATGAGTTTTAAATAGAATTTAGAAAATTTATTTTAATTTAATAGAAAATTTCATTAAAATCTAATTATTAGTATGTAAAAAAATTTTATATTTTCAAAAATAAATACTTGATGTAATACTTTGTGTATTATTTTCTTGATCCGATGTTCTTTATCGTTATAAAAACCTGCAAGAAGCTTTTATTTTTAAAGAATTATTATCTTTCTTAAAGATTTAATGCGCTTCGCTGATAACTTTTCTTTCCTGTGAATGAAAGATTTGTCTCCGGTCGACGTTTCTCTGGGAAAAAAAAAATAAAATAAAGAAAGATCCACAGTTCCGTCAAAGAGGGCAGTCATTCTTCCACTATTTTTCACCAAGAACTTTTCAACTTCCCGGCAGAAAAAAAAACGAGAGAGAAAGGATTAGAAGAAAAGAAAATGAAAGTAAGAGTCGGAAATGAAATATCATAAAATTAACATTTTTTTTAAATGATCGTTCTAATTTAAAGTCATTTTCTTTACAAGGAATAATTTTTCGTATTTCTATTTTTTTTCTATTTAGTTGAATTATAATATAATTTCCCATTGATTTAAAAAATTATCGAGGAATGAAAAATTGTTATAGCAAAATTATTAAAATCGAATCGCGGTGTAGGAACTTTAGAAGTACTTGACGTAAAAATAATGAAAGAACCTCGAAAGAGGAGAAAAGAAAACAAAGGAAGCGAGTTTCCTTTTGCAAAGCTTCATTAGCTGGAGAATAATTGGTTAGCGTCATTTCTCTCATGATCAAAATATTTTACTTTTACTTAGAAAATTTCAGCAAAAATACATCTATTTTTTTTGTGTGGTTTTTATTTTCTCTAATTTTTTTTTTAAAAAAAAGCAAATTTTTTTTTTATCTTTTATTTGCAGTTGCGTTATTCAAAGATTAATTAGAGTTTGAGGTAGAAATTTCTTAAACAAATAAGAGAATGGGTCTTCCCTCTAAGGTGAGGCTAATTGCAGTGTTAATCTAAGTAGTGGTTTCTCCTACCTTGAATTTCTAGTGAATTCAGAGTAAACGAGAGAACAGATAATTTCTAGATAGCGAGCTAGTTTCTAGGCAGCGCTCGTGGTATTCGCGTTGCATTATTTATTCGTCGAGCAATCACAATTTGTATGTGTATTCTCCTCGTTATATGTCTGTATATGATTTTTACCTAGAGAGTACGATTTTTGAGGATGAATATTTTTTAATTTTTTATTTTGATATTTTTGGCTCATGTTATTTCTTCTATTTATAAAGACACATATATATTTAATTTGAATTGCAAACCTTGATTGAATCATAGATTCTAAAATGTCTACTCAAAACTTTTGAAATGGAATTTTTTATTAAAATTAACTGTCTGACTGAATAAATCGCTATTGGGAACTGCGCATGAGCAAAGGCACGGACGATATAGAAAGGCCTTCGTACCGTGGAGAGCCTTAGGTTTCCCCATACGATACGATATTCGCTCTAATTATTTCATACAAATAAAGTTCAATTTAAAAATAAATAAGGACGTTTATTGTTATTTTCATAATCTGATATTGATTATTAAATATATTCACGAAACTTGGCACGATAAAAATACATTGCTGGTAAAATATTTAAATTGTCCTATCCATTCTGGACATTATATAACTTACCAACAATATTAAGATTAACAGGATGACCTATTGGTGGAGTTGTGGAAATTTGGCATTCATAGATTCCAGAATCCGTACGCTGAGGATATCGAATCCTGAGGGTCCACTCTTCAGTGTGTGGAGCATGCAACGCTTCAAAACGTTGATCGCTTGTGTACGTGTAACGACCAACTGTCAATAAATGAATATCGCGATGCCTAACCCATGATACCTGAAAACAAATCAAATACATTTGGTATTATTATGATTGTGTATTACCAAATCTCTTATTTATTAATTTACAGATTTCTAAATTTTTAATCTCAAAAATTGATTTTTAAAAAATTAGTAGAATTTTTGTTTAATTTTTAAAAAAATTACCAATTTAAAGGAAAACAATTAAATATTTAAAAAAAAAAATAAACGAAATATAATTATGAGAAATTAAAATAATACAAATTGCCTGTAACTAAACTAGATTTTCATCTCCAGATTATAAAAGTTCTTTTCATTTTTTTTTTCACAAAGAATTTCGTTTATTTTCATTTTAGTTATATTTGTGATAAGATCTCAATCACGTTTTGAGTAAAAAAGGTAATGAGTATTATGCACTTTGCGTACAATTACAGTGGTCAGTTTTTATACCTCTCTCTCTTTTATTCGTTAAATTTTATTTTCGTGTATTTTCTTATCTTATCACGTTCAGTGATATATTTTTTAAAAAAATATTAGGGGATATACTTTTTCATGTGTTGAGGAAATTTTTTTTGGACAAATAAATGAAAACAATGTTTCAAATGTGGTTGTTTAATTTTCGTGAAAATTGTGAATTTAGTTTCAATAAACTCTGTATTCTAATCTAAGCAATAATTGAGAAACTGTCATCGTATTTTATATACAATGAAACTCCTCTCTCTCTCTCTCTCTCTTTCTATTTTAGCATTAATACACTCGAATACACGACTATAAAGTTAATGTCTGTAATATATTGCAACATCAGAAATTAATATAGTTGAGATTATAATTGAATTTTAAAATCCAATGACTTCTAACCATTGCTTTGATGGTATAAAATATTTATTATAAAGTTTTTCAATATCCTCTTTAAAATTTTTAGAGAGCATTTGAATTCCTCAATTTGTAATGATAGTTAGAAATCGGCCGGTAAATATTTGTACTAAATATTATCACGCGTCGATAAACATGTTAGCGACCGCGCAGCACAAAGACGTAGTACCCGATTTTGCCGCGCGGGCCGCATCGCCATAGCTCACTCGCGTGCGCCCAGCCGACCGATCGGCTATATAAGCTGCGCTCTCGCCGAGGACCGTCACTATCGTGCTACACGGAGTCCGGGTGGGTCTTACTCACTTGACTAGGAGTTTTACTCCGAAAATCTTTGTAGAGAGTTTTACTCTCGTTCGTCGGGTTTTACCCGTCGAACATTATATCGGTTTTATGTGTGAATAGTGTATAGTAACGAATTGTAAAGTAATGCATCGAGATGTAAAGTAACGTAATCTATAGTAAAGAAATATTGTAAAGTAACGTAACAAATGTATAGTAAAGAAATATTATATTCCCGCAGTTTAAAATAGATTTTCCGTTCTTTTTACCGTTTCTTAGATTTACTTAGAGTTTTACTCTTTGTATAATTGGAATACGAGTTTTACTCGTAGTTCATATTGTATTCATGAAGTTTAAAGTAAATTTTCCGTTTTTATTATCGTTTGTAGATATACTTAGAGTTTTACTTTTCGTATAATTAGAACACGAGTTTTACTCGTGGTTCACTAGAATATCGCGGATTTTTAGGAAGTATTGCAATTGATTTCACGGCTCATCGCAGCAAGTTGAAGCCGATTTCGTTAATGCGCGGCTAAAATAAGCGACGTTATCAGATTGCGCCGATTCTCGATTCCGCGGCTCAACGTATCGCGATAGACGCCGACAATCGTTGTGTAAAACCGATTTCCGCGATTTATATGTACGCCTATATATTTTTCACCTGTAAATACCGTTGTAAATAAATAATTTGTTTCAGTTTGTAATTAACCCGTTATTGTTATTATTTTTATTGGAATCAAAACGAACCCTGGCTCGGCGAGCTAAATATTGATTCTTACAATTACAAACGTTACAAATATTTTGTAAAGTAATACTAAACTACTGCTCTCAAAATTATGTGATTTATATTGTGATCCAATGTGTCGTGTACAAGATAATCTAAATTTGAAATTTTGATGCTGCAAGTTTCGTTTCAAATCCTCCAATCAATCGAAAAAACATTCAATCGTAAACAATCGATCACTGTTTTCCTCTGTTATCTTATCTATTTAATATTATCCCAAAGCAAATGCGGATTTAGGATTTATATGTCAAAGGGTCTTGGCCATCCAAAAGCCTTAGATTTATAGACGAGAAAAATATATAACACTATGATTTTAATTTTTTTAATGGATGCTTTCCTCAAAAAGCCTTTTCTGTATAGAAACTGATTTATAGAGACGTCTGATATAAATTAACTATTTCAAATTGTTGACTATATTGAAAAATAAATATTTTTTTATATAATTTATTATATCTAAGAAATTTTACTAATAAAATAATGGAAATATTTTTGGATAATAAAAAATAGTAAAATTTACACAAATTGAAAATTTTTTAATCTTATTTCTTCAAAAATCTACAATTTTACAGAATAATTGCAAACGATATTGATTGCCGTCAATGAAAAACAAACTCACGCCTTGCCTTATATATAATCTGAACGTATATAAAACTTTGTTCCTTTGCTTTTATCCATATGAAAGTTTTACGATCCAAGTCGCTCTTCTGTTACTTGATTACTTTGTTTTACTTTAAAAAAAAAAAATAATAATAATTTACGACACTTTATTTTTTAATGTCTTTTGATTTTATGGACAATCGAAATTAATTAAATTAGAGGGAAAAGTTTTTAAGAATAAGTAAATTTTAATGAGAGTGTTATTCATCTTTTTTTTTTATTCGAAAAAGATTTAAAAGTAATATAGTTTCTTTTTATAGAAAATAATATTTTAAACGAGAAAGTTGTAAGATAATGTGAAAAAGTTAATTTTACAAGGAATACTTAGTTTTATAATATAATTCTATATTTTAGTATCTATACTTATATTTTTTCACAGGTTTAACAATACTTTTCTGATATTTTCTCATAAAATTAATAGTATAATCCCCTTGAATTACCTACTAAAAATGCTTAGAAAAATAAACAAGTATAAAAATAAAAATGTTTATCTTTAAATTCAAAAGTAGTAAATTTTTTGTAATTAACTTGAAATTTAGAAAAAATTTAAAAATGACTAATTTTTATAAATTTTACTATATGCAGAAATATTACGATTATTAGTAGAAACTTGTAGGAATTCAAATTACTATATATATATAATTCTACTTTTGACAATGAAAATATTTTCAAACTTATTAAAATTTTTAATAACACAAATTTGACTCTTGTGAGCAATTATACCAAGTAACTGGAATATAAACTTAATGTTAATTTCGATGTCCTTTTGGGTGTTGTAATTAAATACATCGTATGTAACTAGCTAACATTGTTTAAACTCGCAATTTACCTTCCGAGACCGTCAATTTAATTCTACTCTTCCACTGAAAATAATCCCCTCAGGTCGAAAATATGAATTAATAAGCAACAATGTCTAAGAATCCCACTTTCAAAATTACAGATTCCACATTCCGGATTCCACTTTCCAATTTCTGTATTTCACATTTAGTATTCCGGATCCCACTTTGAAAATTCCCTATTCGCGATTCCACATTCCGCAGTCCACATTCCGGATTCAATTTTTCACATTTCGAATTCCACATTCAGTATTCCACTTTTTAAATTCCGGATTCCAGTTTTCACACTACGTATTTCGAATTCCTCATTTCGGATCCCACTTCCAAAATTCCGTATTTCATATTCCACTTTCAAAATTTCGTATTTCAGATTCAACATTCCGGATTCCACTTTTAAAAAACCGGATTTCACATTCCATATTCTAAATACCACATTCCGGATTTCACATTTCGGATTCCACTTTCAAAATGTCGGATTCCACATTCTGAAAGTGGAATCGGGAATGTTGAAAATGGAATCCGCAATGTGGGAAGTGGAAAGTGGAATATAAGATCCGGAATACATAATTTTAAAAGTAGAGTCAGGAATGTGGAATGCGAAACACGGAATGTGAAAAGTGAGATTCGAAATGTGGAATCCGGATTACGAAATGTGAAAAGTGGGATCGGTAATACGGAATGTAAAATGTTGGAACCGGAATGTGAAATCCGGAATTTTCAAAGTCTAATCCGGAATGTGAAGTCTGCAATACGGAATTTGGAAAGAGGGATCCGGAATGTGAAAAGTGAAATCCTGAATACGGAATGTGAAAGGTGGAATATGTAATGTGGAATCCGGAATATGAAAAGTGGAATTCGGAATGTGGAAACCGGAATATGAAATCCAAAATGTGGAATTCGGAATATGGAATCCGGAATGTGAAATGTGGGATCCGGAAAAAGTTACGTTATTAACCCCCAGATCAATAGCAAATTTTTCTGCTTGAATTTTTTAAATTAGTCCACGAATCGGAATATTGCAATCACGTTGTATTTTAATCGATAAATTTTGCGCATAGTGAAATTTGTTGATTAATTTTCTAATTTACGATTAATATCAACTTTGTCACTTATAGATAAAATTTTCACTCTCTTCGGATTTTACATTTTTACAGTATTACGAATTTTGATTTGTTTTAAAGTTCTACTAATTCTGCCAAAAACGAACTGCCTATTCACTTATCGATCTGCTTGGTACGAGGCTTGCTATAAGCACTTTTCTATACGTATGGAAACCAAATAAACATTGCATTTACGTTTGTAATAACTGATCTCTCGTTAATAGCGATTTGCATTACATATACTTTACATTAAAACCAAACAAATAATTATTTTCCGTTCGTTATAGCCGATCGCTCATTACAAGGGATCTTGTTAAAAGCGGTTTCCACTGTATTTTGTAAATCTGATATTGTAACGTGGTTTTTGAATAACCAAAAAAAGACTTTGTAAAATTCTCATAAAAAAATATCTATTGTTAAAGACGGAAGTTAATTAAACAAAAGGAAATTTTAGAAAAATAATAATATTTACATTGCAAATTTAAATGTTATTATTAACAATTCCGCTCATTGGTAAAACGTAAATTGCTCTTCGCTAAACAATGTTTAGAAATAAGGTAGTGGACTACCTCTCAGTAAATTATTAATTCAATTAACCCGGATAGACGGTATTTAGGAGAAAATATCGAAAAAAAACATGAGACAAAAGTATTTCAAAGTGAATTAAATAAATGGAGTCGAATTAAAATAATATACTCAGTTTATTACATAAACCTCAAAAGCATTACAATATATTCCTAATATAATTCTTTTAAAAATCAAAAGAATATAAATGTTTATTTCACAATTCAATAATAAAATCAACTAAGCTACTTGACTTACATCAAGTCTCACAAATAAAAAACAAGAAAGATTTTATTTCCAAATTACAACTTTAATTTGTTATAAATGATGTTTTTGTGTTTTGTGTAAAGATATGTTTGATTTCTTTAAGAATTACTGTTTCATTAAAGGCAATTATTTAAAGAGACTCATCAGAATTATAATCGGAACAGAAAAGTATCGTATTACTCGTGTTTGTCACTCGATGGTTAGAAATGCGGAAGTCTTCTCTTATTTATTTTATTTATTAAGAATCACTCAATACTTTTGATTTAACTTTTATATTTTCAATATATTTGTACTTTTAATATAAACAATCAAAAATCAACCCTGACTCGGGGAATAATTAATAACTTCAACCACACTTAGTGGGATACAACAATATATAATCATCTGCCTTTTGTGGGAATAAACACAACATCCACTCTGCGGGAAATGATACTGAACACTTGACACTCTGACTGAAAAGACACCTTCACCTTGCGGATAAGACTGCAGTGGGATTACTAATAGCGCTAGTCGCTATGTAGCGCTTTTCGTTATTTAGAATTAAAAACTTACATATTTTTAGTGAAACTTGTTCCAAATCATGATCAAAATAAATTACCGTTGACAGTTTCTTCAAAGCTTAAACTGCAAGATGGTAATTTAGAAGAAAATATAAACATAACCCCTCTAGATAAGGACATTGACATAGAATTCATGTCAATTTCCTAAAATATTTTATCTACGTAGCAAACAAATACAACATGAAGGTGGAATCAATTCTCTAACTTCATGTTTGCCAACTGTTAGTTTCAAATAAAATAATTAATTAGTGCCCTCACAACAAAAGGATATTCAGGATATCCTTGGGACGTCCTGGGGATATCGATTTGTTTTCGGCGGTTTGGATATCCCTGGGATATCTTAGAGATGTCCATGGATATCCAGAGGATATCTTAGGGATATCCGAATCGCCAAAAGCAAATGGATATCCCCAGGACGTCCCAGGGATATCCTGAATATCCTTGTGTTGTGAGGGTGACGAAATAAATTATACTTTAATACCTATTGTAAATAACCTATTAATTTAATAAATAACTACTTTAAAAATAAATTATCTGGTTTAATGTTAAAATAATTTATAAAGGGAAATAAATTTTTTTTAATTTAATTTACCCTATTGAAAAAAAACACGTATAATTGTACGTATAATAATACGTATAATTATACGTATTATTATACGTATAATTATACGTATAATTATACGCATAATTATACGCATAATTATACGTATTATTATACGTATAATTATATGTATTATTATACGTATAATTATACGTATAATAAGACATACGAATTTGAAACAAGAATTATACGTATAATTATACGTATAATAATACGTATAATTAATTATACGTATAATAATACGTATAATTATACGTATTATTATACGTATAATTATAATTCTATTAAAACTAGAATAATAGAATAGAATAGATTAATTAGTAGCAAAATAACGCTGAAAATTTTTAGAAATTTTAAAATGCAAATTAAATTTCACGAAAAAAAATATCGTCGAATGTCAATTCAAGCAGTCACCCATCCAAGTACTAACCGCGTCCAACGTTGCTTAACTTTCGTGATCTGATGAGAACTTGTTCCTTCGCCTTGGTGTTTCCGCTGTCTTGTCATGATTAATAACTATGTCGTATAAGTATTGTATCGCACCTAACCTCACTTTTAGTGATACTTATACGACAAAGTTATTAATCAAGACAAGACAGCGGAAACACCAAGGCGAAGGAACAAGTTCTCATCAGATCACAGAAGTTAAGCAACGTTGGACGCGGTTAGTACTTGGATGGGTGACTGCTTGAATTGACATTCGACGATATTTTTTTTCGTGAAATTTAATTTGCATTTTAAAATTTTTAAAAATTTTCAGCGCAATTTTGCTACTAATTAATCTATTCTATTCTATTATTCTATTTTTAATAGAATTATAATTATACGTATAATAATACGTATAATTATACGTATAATAATACGTATAATTAATTATACGTATTATTATACGTATAATTATACGTATAATTCTTGTTTCAAATTCGTATGTCTTATTATACGTATAATTATACGTATAATAATACGTATAATTATACGTATAATTGTACGTATAATTATACGTATAATTATACGTACAATTATACGTATAATTATACGTACAATTATACGTATAATTATACGTATTATTATACGTATAATTATACGTGTTTTTTTTCAATAGGGTAATAAATAAAAATTAAGAAAATTAATCTTATTGCAAGAATTAAAAATAATAATTGCATGAGATTTAAAATTAGGATATTCTTTACCTAAATTTAAAAATTGATAAATTTTTTTAATTAAATTAATTAATAATTTTTTAATTAAATTGATTTAAATTTTCATTTATTGATAAACTCTTTAACTTACAAAAAATGCCGTATTTTTTTTAGTTAACCCTTGCGTGAGAACAAAAATTCTTTTTTCGAGGTTATATCTTCAAAAATTTTTTAATTAAATTTTTTTTCCCATTTTAGACAATGTCTAATAGAAACTTTTCATCCTATGAAAAAGATAATAAATATAAATGCAATAAATATTTAATTATTAATATAAAAAAGAAAAGTAAATAGTTTATTATTATTGGATAAACTTGGCTTATTTTCTTGATTTTTTGTAAAGAAATGGGAAATAAATGTCTCCTTTTTTTCTTTATTATTATTATGTTTTATTTAGTTTATAATTATTAATTATAAAAAAATTTAAGGTTTAAATTTAGAAATAAAAGTGTTAATATAATAATATTAATAATTATCGTTGTCTAGAATTGCCTTTTTTATAACTTTTTGAGAATTGAAGTGTTACACTTGAAAAATTTGTCAGGCTTTTAGATATTTCTTTTAATTGCTTCATTTCTTCATCGTGGGAAATTCTTATGAATTTGATACATTCTTGATTCTAAAAAAAATTGTTAAATTATAAAATAACGCAAATATGAGAAAAAAATACACAGAAAAACAATTGTACCAACTTAAATCTATCAAAATGATACCATTTTTTGAGTTACCCGATAACTAAAAAATTTTTTAAAGTGAATGTTGCTTAGAATCGTTACGTAGCGAAATCTTCGTAGTGCTGTCGCTAATTGTAATCCCACTCCTGAACACTTGACACTCTGGCCGAAAAGACATCATCGCCTTGCGGAGAAGACTGCCGTGCAAAACTGAAAGACCGTAACTTCATTTTTGAATTAGGCTATGTTGACCATTACATTTTCACTTCTATAAAAATAAAGAGATTAAAATTTCGATCAAATTTTGTTTTGTTAAGATAGAAATAATTATTTCTACCTGATATGGATTAAATTTTTCATAATTTTAATTTCTATATTCTTGCAGAAGGAAAAATGTAATGGTCAACGTAACCTATTTGAAAAATGAGGTTACGGTTTTTCAGTTTTGCACAGCAGAAGACTATTTAAACTTCTTTAAACAATGAAATTGGTGGCAATGATCACACCCGATTCATGTAGTGGAAGAGTTGATTCTGCAATCAACATCTCCTTGTTTCTGTGCAATTTCAGCAAAGTTGCATTTTTAACTTAGGGTCGTGATACATTCAATCACCTACTCTACTTAAAATTTTCATTAATATTACTTAATCTTCCAAAAGGATTTAGTAGTTGTTATATATTGAAGACCCACATTTAAATGATATAATGACCCTAACATCTATAATTCAGTTTTCGTTCTGTCAGAATAAATCAAAATTCTTTCTTTTGTTAAAGTTAAAATAAAATTGTCCAATTTATTCAAGTTAGTGTTTAATTTTTCTACTTTGTCCAAAAATTACCGTTGATTTTATTTTATTATTCTAATGTTGTGTAATCAAAAATTATTACAATAATAATAAGAAAATCAATATTTTCATGCTAGCCATGTCGTTATTTGGAGTCTATTACGGTAATTTCGATCACGTTTCCTATTATATTGGCTGTAGAGTTGGAGTATTATGACCTCACTTTTTCAAATGCAAAAGTACTATCGATCACGTCATGGTACTTACAGTTCGATTACCGAGGTTCTTTACTCTGCACACTAGGTGAACTGGTTTCCCTACAAGACCCGTCACGTTCGCAGGGGCAGTCGTGTCGAAATAAGGACCTGTCTCTGGAGTAGGCACTTCCTGAAGAAAGTCCGTTCTAAATAGTCTAGAACATTGTGCCGATGAACCTGAAACAAAAACACCATTATATGAATATAGAAAAATTATTGAAATAAACATAATATAACACGGTGCGCCAGAAGGTGGTTTAAATAAAAATGAATTGACATTTAAAAATTCTTTTTGATTATGATTCTTAGATGAATAACAAACATTTCTCAATAGTTTTTAAAATCAGTTTACGTGTCCGATTTAAATAAAATTGAGTTTTTATATAAAAACAGTGTTTTATGGGGAATCAGAATTTATTTAATCTATAAAATACTGTAATAAATGATAAAATAATTATTTATTTTCAATTTTACATATAAATAATTATATTGCTGTAGTGTTTGTGTCCGATTTTAAAAAATTAAATTATAATGTTAAAAGAACGATTTTAAGAGTGACAAAATTTATTTAAGAGAGTCGAATGATCTCTGAAATTTTTTGGCAAGAAGAGACCTTTAATTATTGCTCTATAAAAGCGGCACTAAACGTGAAAATGATAAACATTGATTTTAAAATACTTTCTTCTCGAAAGACGGACACTTTTTATAAAAGCAGCTAGAGATCCTTATCTTATATAAATTTTCTAAATCCGAAAGATTATACGAATCCATACAAAAACACGATTGCAAAACGAAAAGTAATATAATGAGGGGTTCATTACCTCCTGCCGCCGTCAGATGGCAGCAGCTTGCAGGGCGCACAAAGTCGCAGCTGTTATTAGATTACTTTTCTACTTTTTGTTTTGTAACCATGTTTTTCTATGGATTCGTACAGTCTTTTGGATTTAGGAAATTTATAAGATGAGGATTTTGGCTGATTTTGTTAAAAGTGTTCGTGTTTCGAGAAAAAAGTATTTTAAAATCAATACTATTTCACGTTCAGAGCGATAATTAAAGCTCTTTTCTTGCCAAAGAATTTCAGATACCGTTCGACACTCTTTAATGCATAAATATAAAAACGAAACAAGAAAATAACTTCATTGTTAATAAATTTATATGAACCCAAATCTAAAACATCTATTATCTATACGCATATAAGTATACATTAAATAAATTCTGGTTCTTCATAAAATACTATTTTTAAATATTTAAAACTCAATTTGTTTTAAAATGGGCACGTAAGCTGATTTTAAAACCTATTGAGAAAAGTTTTTTTTATTCATCTTAGAACCATAATCAAAAGGAATTTTTAAGTGCCAATTTATTTTTATTTAAATCACCTTCTGGCTCACCGTGATAAGACTAAAAAAAAATTTTGTTTATGAAATTCAATTGAATTTCGACCTTAAAATTAATTTTTGACAGTAATTATTTCATTTGGAACTAAAAAAGAAGTAAATAAAATAAAGGGATTAATTAATATGATAGTAATACACTAATTAGATTAATATCTCTCCGTATGAGATTTTAAGGTATTTTATAATACAGCTTGTAATTTTGCTGAACCATAACGCTGTAAACACAAGCCTTATTCAGTTTCCGCTCCCTTGTGTAATTTACAATTATTTACACCTGTGGGCGAGCACAGTAAGCAAGCAAGTCATATGTACTAAATATTTGCATGAAAGATGCTAGTGCTTCCGTGATAAACTCTGCATGAAATTCAAATTGCCTAAATCAATTAAATATTTACCTTATTTTGCATTTACTGTCGTACAAAAAAAAATCACTACCAGTACTGTGTCATATAATTTTGTTGATATAATGTAGTAAAATTTGAATTAATCCAAAATCTTGTAGAAATAATATTGTCCATTAATAAATGAATTGCGATCAATTTATCCATTAATTTAGTCAATAATATCCCACGTTGACTTAGGAAACAGGAAATAGGAACAGGAATCGGAAATAGAAATAGTTTTATAATTAAAAAGAAATTGTGACTTGTAAAATTAATTTAATTTTACAGAGTTAAAATGATTAGTTAGTTAAAAACAATTTGTTTTGACTACTATTTTCGTTTTACTAGTTTCGTAACAGAGTTAACAATTAACTAATTAAATTAATGAACCTCAAACATTATTATTATTCTACCCTAATAACACAAGATATCTTGGGATATATTGATAATATCCCGCAGATATCCTAGGGATGTCCTATGGATATCAAAAGGATCTCTTAAGGATATCCAAAAAATCGGCGGTTTGGATATCCCATGGATATCTGAGGATATTCACAGGATATCTTCTGGATATCTCTACAGACTTTCATAAATGTCCTCCAGATATCCCATAGATATCGTCAGGATATCCCACAGATATTTTCAGGATATTCTCAGTATATCTTCTGGATGTCAAGAAGATATTCTCAGGATACTGTTTTTAAAGTCATTATGAGACTACGAGTGAGAATATTCTGTGAATTAAATTTTATATAAATAAAATAAAATGCAACTTGTTTTTCGAGAAAGTTGTTTAATTTGAAAAATTATTAACTAATTTTTTTCTCATTCGTGATTCATTCCTTTATTCATATGCTTAATATTGTCAGAAAATAAATTGGCTTTAAACAATATAAATTCTTCCCCGCAAATAACGAATAACTATTAATATTAATTATACATTAAGTGCATGAGTTTATTTAAAAACTTTGAAAAATGCGTTTCAAATCTTCATTTAAAATAAATTAGAAGCTCATAAGATTTTTGTTTTTATTATATTATTATTCATTATATTAGCTTAACAATTTTAACCTTTAAAAATATATGTTGAGATATTAAATATCCCGTGAATATCCTAAGAATATCCCACGGACATCCTGAGGAGATCCCATGGATATCCTGCGATATAATTTCCAATAGATATTTTGTGGATGTCTTAGGGATATCCTGTGGATATTCTATGGATGTCCTGTTGATGTACCACAAACCGGTGGTTTGAATATCCTAGGGATATCCTATGGATATCCCAAGATATCCTGGGGACCATTCTAGGATATCGACCATTGATATGGATATCCTAGGGATATCGTTTTGTTATGAGGGATGGGATGTGATGATAAAGAAACTCATATTTAATAAAAATTATATTTTGCATACTTTAAAGCATTAAAAAAATTCCACTACTACTAAAAAAGAATACATAATGGGGTATATTATTTTTGCGATTAGGAATAATTCTAAGGGGAATTGGAGTGAGAACACATAACATTTTCTACATATTTATTATTCTCTGCATTCTCGAACATCTCTCTAATATACATATACGTTATTTACGGAAGCGGAAGATACTAGAAAAGTTTTGCAGTAGGAGATATATACTATTCCTTTATGTATATATATATATATATGTATGTATGTATATATGTTTATATATATGGAATGCTACAGATTCAACTATGCGTGTACAAAAAGTTACGTGAATTTCTCGTAGTACGCCATGTGCAGAATTCCCTGGTCTATTCTAGAATCCAATTTCTAGACTCCAAGATTGTCGGTATCCAGGACTATAGTTTTGAGGCTTTGTATTGTCTGACCAAAATCTGACTAGTACTACTGCCGATTATACTAACTTCTCTCCCAGATGAAGTATTCTCGTCTTTCCTTTAATGTATTTCTTGATAATAATAAGTCAATTTAAATTTATTAAGTTTAGATATATTCAAAATTGAAACGAGGTAATTTTTACTTGAATTAAATTACAAGAAAATTCTCTCACCGCACGTGCTCAGGGTTAATTGCAGTGCGGGTTTAAGGATTAATGAAATCAATAATTAAATTTATAAACTATGTTATTTTATTTCCCGGCGTCTGTCGACATTTAATTTATTTTTAAATAAAATTAATTTTTGAAATTTACTTTAGTATTTTAACAAAAAAAAAGTAAAATGGAAATAACCCTCAACGAAATTGGCCCTTGTCTTCTAAATTTTAGTCGACTATAGAAAAAGTTTTGTTTAATATTTTTAAAATAATACTTCCTGTTACAAAATATTAAATTAACATTTGAATAAGTTTGAAGTATATAATTTTCAGAAAGTCTTTTTGAGATTGTCCCAATCAGAGGAGAATTCACTATACATTGAAAGGATCTTGAATAGTAATCTGGAAAACTTTTGGCAACTCTAGATTTGCAGTCAAGTTTATAAATAATAAAAATATTAAATTCTTTTAATGAAGAATTTCTGTTTTTTTTCATGAAAAAAAGTTTCACCACGACAAACTCTGCTTTTGAGAATTGAAAGCGTTTCCTTTTAAGAGGTTAATCGCATTTGGAGATAAAGTTGAAATCGTTTTCAAAACGTTGCTCATAAGTCTCTTTTTGAAAAAGATAGAGAGAGAGAGAGAGAGAAAGAGGGAGTGAGCTGAGGAGGGAATTCGGTTATGTACGTAGAAAGTCTCTCAGGGAGTCGGGGGAATAATATTCACCTCGTTGTTCAAACAGATGCGCGGCAGGAGTGTGAGTCTGGGGAGAGAACAAGGACGAGGATGGGCAAAGGTTGGAAAAGACGGATGTAGAATGAAGTAGAAAGACGGAGGAGGCTAGGCAAAACGAGGCAGACATGCCAGGGCGGAAGACATGGGACGGGAGATGAGATCCCGGGGAGCTTCGGTTGCTGAGTGCCTATATGAAGACGCGAACCAACTCTAGTGCTTCGACTATGGTCCGAGGGGGAATACCACTATATATATATATATATACTCTACTTTGAAGAGACTCTACATGTACAATGAATATGTATATTTTATATTCGTGCAGTGAATATACTCGACATATATAAGCTATGTGCATAGAAAAAAAAGTAGAGGAAACTGGACCCAAGCCATGTTAATGAAACTTTACATAACATTTCTTTCATTGCAAAAAGTATCAAATTTTTAGTACTCTAAACTTTTAATACAATCTTACCCTCATAACAAAAGGATATCCCTAGGATATCCATATCAATGGTCGATATCCTAGAATGGTTCCCAGGATATCCTATGGATATCTCTAGGATATCCAAACCGCCGGTCTGTGGGACATCAACAGGACATCCATAGGATATCCGCAGGATATCCCTAAGACATCCACAAAATA